TGTTACTATTGCACTTAAGTTATGAGAAAGTGAATAAAGAGTGCAAATTTTATAATGTTATACAACAGAGTGTTTTCTTTTAAATACTTTGTACATTATACCTTCTGGTCACTTTTACATCTTGTGCCTATATCTGTGACTATTAAGAGGACAGAAAAAAAAAGTATTTCATAGGGTGAAACAACATAAAAACAGTATGCCTCAGAGTTGGGAAGTGGGTATGAATTGAAAACAAACAAGAGCATCTTGACTGGACCTAGCTGGTTTGGCTCATTGGATAGAATGTCGGCCTGCAGACCAAAAGGTCCCAGGTTTGATTCTAGTCCAGGGCACATACTTTGGTTGCAGTCTCCTCCTGGCCCCCCCCCCTCCCTCCCGTTGGGGCTTCTGTAGGAGGCAACCAATCTATGTGTTTCTCTCATATCAATCCTCGGGTGAGAATTAACAACAACAACAACAAAAGCATCTTGACTGGAATTGTCCTGGATGTAAAGAAGTGGTTTAACTTTATGATCATGCTGGTACAGGAATAAGAACCTTCTGGAAACCACCCCTAGGAAATGATAGGCGTCTGAAATAGGTTGAGTCTATTACTCATATTTCTGAGGAACTGAAAACATAATTAGAGGGTGTTTACTTCTTTAATAACACACAAGGAAGTACAGAACCAGAGGCCATGATAAATAATGAGAAATTAGGAGTGTCTGACATAATTACCTTGTTTGATTTTTTTGAATAAAATTAAGTGAAAAAACCCAAAATACAAAATAAGTTCATTATTAAAATTAATCAGGGTAATTCTATATTAACAAAGGGCCTCAGATTTATTGAAAAGGATTTTTAATAATAAAAGACATTTCTTGCTATTTTAACAATATAATTTATTTTGCTATTTTACTCAATCTTTCAGAGGGTTATGGAAAATAGTAATTAAATGACTAAGAGAATAACAATTCAAATATTATATCATTTCTTAACTAACAATTTCTTGGCTGGGATATCTGGGTCATGAGTGATAGAAATGAGCAAAGGGAAGAAGTGTGAGTAAACATGATAGAAAGTCACTAACTGGCTTCAGTAAAGTTGTACAAAACAGAAACCTACTTTTCAAATTTAGGATTCAGATAATTTTAAAGATTTTATTTATTAAACCTATCCACTTTTGGAGTTGGATTCTGACAAAACTCATTTTTATCACTGAAATATACAAATAATATGCTAAGTGTCCCACCATCCAACCGGTCTCCATGACATGTACTGACCACCAGGGGCAAATGCTCAACACAGGAGCTGCCATGATGCACACTGGCCAGCACCATGGATCTGGCACGGATAAATGAACACTCAGCTTCTTCCAAGTGGGACACAGGCCCCACCACCACCCTGGAGCAACACACCACCAAATTGTAACCAATGCTGCCAAGATCCCATAGCACAAAATGCAGCCCACAGTCCAGCGCTGTCCAGCCCACCCTGGAAGCGGTTGCTATAGGCTCCAGGTAATGACTTCATGTAGCAACTCCCTGCTTCCTCTCCCTAAAGACTAGCCTCTTTGGAGTTTCTTTTCTTTTTCTTTTTTAAATATATTTTTTATTAATTTTTTTACAGAAAGGAAGAGAGAGGGATAGAAACATTGATGAGAAAGAAACATGGATCAGCTGCCTCCTACACACCTCCTACTGGGGACGTACTTGAAACCAAGGTATATGCCTTGACCAGAATCGAACCTGGGACCCCTCAATCTGCAGACTGATGCTCTATCCACTGAGCCAAACTAGTTAGGGCTCCTTGGAGTTTCTTTATCCCAGGAACACAGGTGGAAACATTTCACACTTTAACCTAGGGGTGTCGAACTCAATCAGAGAAGGGGCCAAAATCTAAAATCCAGCCTAAATCGCGGGCCGAATGGTTTACTGAACAGTCATAAACTGTCATTGTGATGGAAATGCAGTGGAGTGCAGTGATGACAGCGCGGTGCGGGCCACATTGCAAGGCCTGGCCAGACGGATTTGGCCCGCGGGCCTTGTGTTTGACACATGTGCTTTAACCAAATGCCTGTGAAGCATTTTTCCATGCCTCATCTCATTTGATCCTCACAGAAGTCCTGGAGTAGGTAGATAGGAGTCTTGATGGAATCCTATTTTCTTTTCATTAACCAGAAAATGGAGATTTAGAAAGCTTAGAAACTTGACCCTACTGAAAAGAAGTAAGAAATAGTGGACCTTGAAAATGACTTCAGGTTTTCTCACTGAGCAGAATATAGTCAAACACTGCTACAGTTAAATATTTTACCCTTTGCTCTCCCTGCGTGATCCACAATAATAATTTGCTTCATGTTGATATTTATTGCTGTGATGCTAACAATTACCTGAAAGAGAAGTTGGGGTGTTTCACTGGGCAGGAAAAAGATTAGCTAAATCAGAAAGCAGGTCTAATTAAGTCTGTCTATCTATCTATCTATCTATCTATCTATCTATCTAAAGCTCTTGCTGGCATCAATCACATGCATGTGTTTCCATCTGTCATTTTTTATTGTGAATTTGGTTGACACTTCTATTATAGAGAAAGAGCACATGGTGATATTAAAATATTTCTTCTAATTAATGTCCTTTCAATCTGCACGAATCCATGCACCAGGCCTCTAGTTGCAATTCTAAAGATAACAGAAACTACTATCATGTTTTGAAATTTATTATGATAGTCTGAAATCTAGGGAAATCCATTCACAGACTTCTTTAAAAACTTACCTAATTTAAGGAAAATTCAAATTCCTAAGGGAAAAAAGAGTTTAGGTGACTATTCATATAATGTCCAAGATCTAACTTTATTAAACACCAAGAAAGACAGTTTATGGAGTCTGACCTATTGAAATAATTCTAGTAGAAAAAAGAATAACATGAAACAGAAAAGTCAGCATCTCCACAAGGTGAATTGGTCTCCTTGAAAAGTCCAACAACATGACCTCCAATTAGATTTATAGCCACATTTTGATTTTCTAATCAAAGAGAAGTTAGTATGGCAAATCAAACATTGCATGCCTATTATGCAATATAATGCATAAAATGGCACGTGCATAAAATCAGGTACAGAAAATACATACAGGTATTTCCTAATCAGCACATCAACCTGAATTTGGCAATTGAAAAGCACTTGGACAGAAAGAAAGAGCTAAGTTCAGGACCTCAGAGGCATTTCACATAATGACATGCCTCCCAGATCTTGAAAGTGAATTCAACAGAGAAATAAAATGAAAACAGCTATTTTCCAATGAACTAACATAATGTATAATTACATTATTGAAAACATGGAATTAGGATTATTTGAAATCACTTTATCAAAAATATAATTATCTCTTAAAATAACATGACATGAAACATATTGAAACATCTCAGAAGTCTTAAAACCACTCCTTCCTTACCTACCTGAGTCTTCCCAATTGAGTGTAAACCACAGGCTGGTATTCAGGTGACCTTACCCGATATTGTCAGTAAATTGGAGTTTTTGACATATGGATATATTTCAATATTGGTCTTTAAAGAGCCTATTCTTGGGGCATCCAAACAACATCTCGCAGGTATCATGGAGCCCCCACTCACAAGATCCAGCGTGGAGAGTGATGTCCAAGGACAGCAGCAGCCTCCAAGACTCTGCTTCAACATTACCACTATTATCCTTTCTGATTAGTCAATGCTCATTGATAAGAATCTTTTAGAATTACCCCTAAAGGGGCCTATTCTTCTTTTGTTTTCCCATGAAGCTGTTGTGTATTATGTAAATACATGCAATCCAGTGTTATTATTATAGTTGGTGTAGTTGGATGTTTGTTTTAAGTCTCCATCAGTGGATTTCTGGTGCATATGTATTTTATGCATTGAAGTAGCAAATCAGAAGACTTCTGAATATTAAAAAAAAAAAAACTGTAGAAGGAGGAGGCATTTGGATGTCTATGGACAGATGATTGTAAAGGGTTCACCTAATTTGTTTTCCTGTCCTTTTGCTGTTCTAAAGGGCCTTGGCATGTAGATATATTTTTCTGAGTCATTCAGAGTGTAAAGGGCCCTATGATGATGTCTAAATAAATAATATAAAATATGGCTAATCACTTCCAAAAATAATAACTGAATGTATTAAAATTGAATGAAAGGCATAAATATAGCCATGCTACTAAATAAACCAGTCATGTCAATCAAATTTTGACATAAGCAATGTGTACAAAAATATGTAGCAAAAGAAAAACTTATCTTTATTGTGCTCAATATAATTTTTTTCTATTCATGAGCTAATCACATTCATGGGAGTGACTATTTCTGAAAATTGACATTTTTAAAAATATAGACTATTCAGAGTTATAATTATTTATTTTTTCTATCACTAAAATTCCCCCCTCCCCCCATTTTTTTGTATGACATATATAAAGTTAAATTCCTGTTGGGGGTGTATCTGAGTAATTAATCTTTTGGGTTTGTGAAGTCAGCTTGAATTATAAGGTGTGAATTGTGATACACTAGACTCCTTTGGTGTTTAAAGGACAGAATTCTATAGAATTTTGCAATTTTGAAAATGTTTGCAAGCCGATTTATAATAATTCTTTTTTAAAAATTTATTTTCTAGGAATACACATTCAATATTTTAAAAGTGCCCAAATTATTGAATCAAATTTGATAGTGTGTATATCTTTCAACAGCAGTTAAATATATTACATGAGTTTACTTTACTTATATTTAAACACATCTTAATTAGTTAAGACTTCAGGTATCATATTATGCCTCAGTATAAGAACAACTCAAAATGGTATAATTTGGGTCCTAAAATGGCTGGTGGCTTGAAAGCATTTATAAAAGACTTTCCTATTCTAAAACAAGAATGCTATCCATAAAATTTTGGAGATAAACCTCAGTGCTAAAGGACATCCTGACACCTACAGTGAGGAAAGAGTTGATATAAAGTGTGTAAGTCAATTTTTTCACTCTCACAGAAGAAAACATTTCTCTTAACTCAGGTTAGGAAATTATTGTACATTTTTATATATCTTTATATAAAAAGTTACAAGGAGCAAGCAGATGATACAAAGACATGGCGGAGAGACAGCAGGGTTGGCGAACGCATGCTTTTTACAATGTGTCTCAGAGAGAGGGTAGTGTTCCTACCGAAATATCCAGAACTGACATGCAGGGGTCTGTCAATTCAGTCATATTGCTAAGTGCTGAAGCAAAAACATTGCTATTGAAGGTAAAATGCCGATTTCAAAAACTATTTCTGAAACTGGGTATTTCCCTTTGATATAAAATAAAGTAAGGATATCAAGGGTACAGAAGAAAAACCAAAGAATGAGACTGTTTTTATTGCCATCTGGTCATTTTACTCATTACTTCTGGCTGCATTTAATCCTAATACAACAGACATGTATCCTCAGTCCAGAAACCTCTGGCTGCTGATCCCAGGGTCCACATTTTCACTGTCGCATGTTCAGACTCACTCAGGACGACTATTCTCAAGCAGTCTATGTAATAAAAACAACGTACATGTAATACCAAGTTCATCCCAAATTGTGTTGTTGTTTTGTTTGTTTTTTTCACATATCACACAATATACAATTATATAAGAGACGTGAAACAACATAGAAACAAAGTGGAAGTGAAAGTAAAAGTGAATAATAGTCTGAATCAGGAACTAATTTCTTCTTCAAGTTTCCAGTAAATCTCAAAATGTATTTAAATACTAAGGAGCACTTGGTGGCCAGCAACCAAATTACGAAATGAACACATCATTGTGCAGCGGGGATGTCTTGCCGAAGAAATAACAAATGTCTGTAATTCTTAAGTTTGGGTAAAGGCAGTGGAATGGATTTAGAAATATGTCCACTTTTCATAATTCAATATAGAATTCTCTTTGCACAGTGCCCATGTTTGTATAAATAGTTCTTCTCTGAAAATGAAACACAGTTAAAACAATTTCTCCCAGTGAAAAATATACACAAATACTATACACCAATTTATTAAGGTTATCTAGACTCAAGGTCATCAATTATAGATTCTAGAGCATGGAATTGCATCACCTATCTTAGGAATAGTTGGTAGGTTTGAAGTGTTTTTTTAAGCGATTAGCTGTCCAACAAATTTTATTGGAAACAAATTAGTCTAATATAGATATAGACTATCAAGTGATACAAGTAAAACCATTCTGATATTCAATGACAAATAAGAGACACACAAAGACAACTGGTATTTACGAAACATTTTACATTGTGAAGCATTCAACATAACTTGCATTTAATTTTCATGACATAAGCTACATATACATGCAAAAATATGAGTGCACAAATTGTATGAAAACCACAAATTTTTAGTGTATGAATTTGGAGTAAAATATTGTCAAATTATTGTCTCAGTATCAATATATTGAGACAATATTCAATTTTTAATTATGAAAATCATGGATTTCTTCTGGTATTTCTTTAAAAAGGTCACTAATTCTTGTATCTTTACCTTAAAGCATGTAAAATTTATCTCAATTAAACATCCTTTTCAATAACATTGCAATACAATGCTTGATGGTAAGAATATGAATATTTATTTTAAAGATATAGGCACTAAGAACCATCCTTCCATCAGCATTGAATCCATTCTATGAAAAATTATGAAACATGTATTTAAAGAAATAATAAAAATGGCTGCTCCCTAAAGAACTGCAAGACAGTTGCAACAAAACAAAACAAAAATGAAATACAACGAAGAAGGAGAAGAAACCAAGGGCATTTGCTTACCTTGAATTTTCTTTTTAGACCCTAGTGGTGTTGTATTCAGATTCATGTTTGCTTAGAGACCCAATGAGGCAGAACCTGGAATGTTATGGCTGTTTCATTCAACAAAGTAATATTTGCACAAAAAATAAATGCACACACAAATATTTACTTAAAAGCATTCGTAAAAATTCATAAAACTATGAAAATAGATTTTTGCTCTCAGCATGCAAAAACATTAAATCAACTAAAATATTTTAGGTTTTGAAAATGTATGGTGAATTGAGAAAGAATATACATTTATAAAACAAACCAAATACTAGTGAAAAACAAACAAACAGAAGTAGGTGGGAGTTGGGATTTAAAATATATTTCCCTAAATTTAAATTTTCTTTTTCCCAAAGTTTTATACATCTTAGGGCTAATGATACAATACAGATCACATTGCCTTTACATTAAAATAAAATTGAATCAAATGTTTCTACTAGCCGAAACCAGTTTGGCTCAGTGGATAGAGCATTGGCCTGTGGACTGAAAGATCCCAGGTTCGATTCCAGTCAAGGGCATATACCTTGGTTGCAGGCACATCCCCAGTAGATGTGCAAGAGGCAACTGATCAATGATTCTCTCTCATCGATGTTTCTAACTCTCTATCCCTCTCTCTTCCTCTCTGTAAAAAAAATCAATAAATTATATTTAAAAAAATGTTTCTACTAATCTTTGCTACATTTAAATATAAAGATTAGTATTTTAGCTGAAATCGGTTTGGCTCAGTGGATAGAGCGTCTGCCTGCGGACTGAGAGGTTCCAGATTCGATTCTGGTCAAGGGCATGTACATTGGTTGCGGGCACATCCCCAGTAGGGAGTGTGCAGGAGGCAGCTGGTCAATGTTTCTCTCTCATCAATATTTCTAGCTCTCTATCCCTCTCTGTAAAAGATCAATAAAATATATTTTAAAAAAGGTTTTTTAGAAAAGATAAGTATTTTAGTATACCATGGTCTTCTATGCAACTTGTAATATTAATATTATGTAATATGTGGAAAATCATATTTTCATTTTTAAACCAAAAATATAATACATTATATTGAAAAAATGTGATATTTCTATATTAAAATTATTCAACAGGATGGGCTAATCATCTTGGTAAGGAAATTATTTCCAAATATCATTTCATATATTAAAAATATAAATATTGATTGGGACAATGTGCAAGCAAATTATCAATGTAAATTTGTAATATAAATTAAAGCCTAATTTTTATAGAAATAAATGCTATGTGTGTAGAAATAAGTGACATATCTTTGTTCAGTATGTGCTCACAAGCACAGGGACACATATGGGGGGTTTGGAAGAGTATGGATGGCACTGAGAAGGAAAAAGAGGAAAACGTGGAGACATTGGTTTAAATCATTGATAAAAAGGAAAACTGAAGATTAAAGACAGCCTCGCTAGGGTGGCTCAGTGGTTGAACCAGGAGGTTACAGTTTGATTCTTAGTCAGGGCACATGCCTGGGTTGCAGGCTCCACCCCAGTAGGAGTGTGCAGGAGGCAGCCGATCAGGGATGCTCTCTCATCATGGATGTTTCTATCTCCCTCTCTCTTCTTCCCTGAAATCAATAAAAGCATTATATATAAATTTCTTTAAAGAAAAAAATGAAGACAAAACAGAACTCAATATTCTGGAAGCATTGCATTGCAGTCCTCAGGTGAGAGCTGTCATAAAATATCTACTGATACTGACCGCTGGACGGCTTTCTCGTGGCGGGACAGCCTGTGGCTCGTGGTGGGCACCTCCTCGATCTCGTCAATGTCGCAGGCGTCCGCAGCATCCTGTGAGTAGTTGTGTTTCATGACCAGGATGTTCCTCCTGTTCGTGGGCGGGACGAGGGGTTTGACGGGCTGGGGCGGAATCTCCGTCAACACGGACGCGTCTCTTGTGCTGAGGTTGGTGCGGCTGCCTTTCGCGCTGGACAGCTGGGATCCACAGTGATGGTCATGGATGCACTTGGAAGAGGACCTCCGCAGTTTATGGTAGGTGTCAAAGTCATCGCCCAAGTCGACAAAGTCGGCCGTGGCCCCCGTCCCTCGGAGAGTGCATAACTCGTAGTGAGGGGGCTCAAACACCTCCTGGAAGACTGTCTGGTCAAAGTCCGACTTCCTCTGGACATATTTTTTACGAGGCTGTTTGATCTGCACGATGACGGAAATGATAATGAGGATGATGACAATACAGGACGTCACCCCGATGACGGTTCCACTGGTGTTGGTCAGCTGGTCCAGCAGGCCGGCTTTCCTCTTTTCTGTGGGTTGAGAAGAGTGAAAACAAATAAAGACAGACACAGCCCACCAGGTATGAGCACGGCAGTCACAGCATCTACTGACAACTTTAGGATGAACTGGGCTGAGCATGGAGTTTTATTGTAAAAATTAAAAATGTGCCGAAACCGGTGTGGCTCAGTGGATAGAGAGTCAGCCTGTGGACTGAAAGGTTTCGGGTTCGATTCTGGTCAAGGGCATGTGCCTTGGTTTTGGCACAACCCCGGTGGGGTGTGTGCAAGAGGCAGCTGATCAATGACTCTCTCTCATGATGTTTCTATTAAATCAATAAAATATATTTAAAAAATTAAAAATGTTTACTAGTAACACAAGGTGATATTTATAAATAAATTGAAATGCTCACTTTTTGCAAGGACCTTATCGTCTAGCCTCAAACATGGCCAACATCCCCGCCTTAATGTAAACTTCTGTTTGGAAAAGGTCTTAGGAGACCATTTGAATGACCTTTGGGAATGAGATCTTAATTTTAAAAGCAGTACATTTCCCCCCCTCAGAGATATAAGAAAGCCCCCAAACTCAACCTCTGGGAACATGACTACACCTGTATTTGTGTGAGCAGTAACTGTTTCTGAACCCAAAAAGTAATTAAACTTCAAGACAGACATTTCTGGGGTGAGAGCATGGAGGCATCTGTAGGCCATTTCCCCAATGAAACAACCTTCTTTGATAAAAATTATGTTTAAAATCCAAACAAGTTATTGTCTGGGAACTTGTCCTAATGGTGAATGGAGGTAGATTTATTTTTTTAAAATCTCCTCAATTTCCTGAAGGTCAGTGACGGTCTATTGCATGGAAGCTCCCAGAATGGAGCCTCGGCACCTCCCCAGGAGGGCATGACACCAGCATTTCTCTCCCCCATCGCTACTGCACATGCTCCATCTCAGGCAGGGGTGGTCCTAGTGTCCGGGCCCCTTTCCTCCTCCCAGGCCCATTGGTAGCACCGAGGCTCAGACCCAGGTGCAGAGGGTGAGGAGGCCGGGCCCCCACTCACAGAGGGAACCATCTGGAGAGGCCAGGGAAGGAGACCAGGGCCCTGTCCATAAAGGGATGTTACTCTAAAACAGCTGGCCACTGTCCCTGTCCCTTCATTTTGCCCATGAGGCAGTCAGACCACAGCTTCCCCTGAAGACTTATTCTAGTTGGATCGGAGTGTGGAGGTGCCAAAGCCAATGGAAATCTCAAAAACAATGGAAATGACTAGGATGGTATCAAGAGTCTTCACAAAATATTTAATTTTCCATTGATTCCAAAATGGTTCCTGGGACACAAAACTGATCATCACCACTTCTACCTTCAGATATTTGATGCCGGGTCTGTCTTCCTTATTGACCACAGGAACCACGGCTGCTGTGGTCACATTTCTGTTTCTACCCAGAGAAGGCGGTTTAGTAGACGATGCTGGACTTTGAGTAAGAAAAAGTTGTCTGCCTGCTTGTCCTTTGCAAATTGGTTCTTTCTGAGTCTGTATAAAAGATGTCTGGCACTTTCAACTTCACTGAAACATGCAACATTTATAACCAAACCAACGATTGAAAATGCTGTCTACAGAAAAGGGCCTTTGTGCATCAGCCAGAGTGGGAGCAGGGGGTGGGAGCTACTTCCATTACGATAGAAGAAAAGCGTTTAGGTAGTTGAGTTGAGTTTAAGTGGCTAGAAGTAACTGAATGCTCAAACATGCCTTCAATAAGCCTTATCTGCCCAAACCGGTTTGGCTCAGTGGATAGAACGTCGGCCTGCAGACTGAAGGGTCCCAGGTTTGATTCCGGTCAAGGGCATGTACCTTGGTTGTGGGCACATTCCCAGTAGGGAGTGTGCGAGAGGCAGCTGATCAATGATTCTCTCTCATCGATGTTTCTAACTTTCTATCCCTCTCTCTTCCTCTCTGTAAAAAAAGAAAAGAAAAAAATCAATAAAATATATTTTAAAAAAATAAGCCTTATCTCTAGAGTATGTGTGCTGTATGTACTCAATGAAGACAAACTGGAATAATGGCAGGTGTAACCCAGATGAAGGGCACCGGGTCTGATAGGAAATCCCACACTGCATCTAAGCTCCAAGTGCCTTTCCACGTCCTTGAAGGCTCTCATATGAGGATACCTCCATGAGCGTTCAAGGGCTCTGGAGAGTCCACTGTGTGTTAATGAAACTTCTGGTGCCAGCACCTGAAATGGCAAAGAACAAGGCTTCCCAATGGATGATAAGACACCCAAAGTTCATAAAAGCCTCTCTACACTCTGTCTTTGTGAGGGTCTGATCCATAGAACATTGGCCTTGTATCCTTCCCACTCAGATGGGGGAGTCTGAAGCTCATTACCTTTGCAGTGGTTTTCATCCCACGGATACACACAGTTCTGGAGCCCATTGCACACCAGAGTGTTGTTGATACACATGTTACTGTGGCAGAAGAACATGTTGCCTTCGCAGGGAGCTGAAAGCAAGAAGAGAGCAATGAAGAAATAGAACTGAGGCTTGATAGTAAATCACTCCCATTGCAAATCTATTGATAAAAGCAGAAAGATAACAGTGATGATTCACCCTCAACTTGAGATAGAGGATCTGAACTTTTATTCTCAGAAGTGTTGCCAAAGGGTAATTATTTCTTGAGTTACTAACTGAGCTGGTGTTCCTCTAGAGGTGTCCAGCTTATAAAACAGGCATGGAGATTTTCCATTATAAAATGAAGTCCATTATCCATACAGTTTTGTTTTTTTTAACTTGGTGCACTCATTTAGCAAAACTAAAGTGGCTAAGTTACGCTTTACATTATATTTGTGTAAACTTAGCTATACTGAGCAAAAAGACTCAATGGAAATACTGAAATAAGTTTGAAAAGTACATGCTTACAAATTACTAATGAAAAACGTTACATATTAGACAAAACCCTATAACACTATTTAAGCAAATGAAAAAGAGAGTGTCATGGAATCCAGAAAAGGGGAAAATTAATCCCAAACAACATAAGAAAAGGCTATATTATTCTCATCGACTTTTAACAGAAATATGGTAGTGTGATTAGCTACTTTGCATTAATTTCACACATTCTGGTAACTTTAGGTATCATGGTCCATGATTCTCAGATTACAATGCACAAGTCAGGGTGCTAGAGGAAGCTCTAAGAAGATTTATATAAATATGGGAAATTTGGTGACATAAATATGATAAACAGTGAAGATTTTAATATAGCAAAGTAAAAATGTTAGATATGACTTCAATATTAGAAAGTGCATTTCTTTCATTATCATAGTAATAGAATATTTAGAAGAATGAGTTTCTAGGATAGTATTGCATTAGGAATCATGGTATATAGACAGTGCTTTGTTCTAATTCTTGTTTTTACCTTTATAATTATTCCACATACCTCATATAATGTAATTTCAGTGTTTACCTTTTCCATAACAGTTTCTGTGATCTTTGTAAGAACAGACACTATAGAAATTCTAGATACAACACATATTCAGTACTACATGTAATTTACAGTGGAAATCAATTAGCAAAGGGTTATTAATGAGCAATATTATCTAACATTGGGTTACTAATGATCAATATTATCTAATATACTGCAGTCATGCAATAATGAATTTTTCAACTTCAAACTATATAGTGCAGATATTTTAGAAACTTACCATCTTTCAATGAACATTGACCTTTGAACACATGGGTTTGAAAGGCACAAGTTCATGTACACATGAGATCTTTTTTCAATAAGTACTGTAAACGTATTTTCTCTTCTTTATGATTTTCTTAGTAGTGATTTAACTTCTCTAGCTTAGTTTATTGTAAGAATTCAGTATACAGCACATATACAAAGTATGTGTTAATCACTGTTTATGTTGTTGATAAGGCTCCTAGTCAATAGCAATTAAGTTTTGGGGGAGTCAAAAGTGGGAGAGTAGGGGGTAGTAATAACCCACATTGTTCAAGGGTCAACTGTATTTGCTATATTAATCAAAATGGTCCAGAAAATTCTTGCATAAGGCAAATTAGTATATTTTAATATGCTTAGAGGAATTCTTAAAAAACAATACAGTCAGATCTTGAAAATCAAATCAGTAGAGCAAAGATCTGGCCAACTCCAGCAAAGTGAATCCTGGCCAGCCACCCCTTCCTCCAACCTCACTTCCCCCAACCCCCAGCTGCTTCTCAGAACAGAATTCTTTCTTCCTTCTGCCTTGTTTGACTTACTTTAGGTCCCTGGTTAAAGAGAAAAGATATGCAACAGTCATTTTAAAAAAGAAAAAAGGATTATAGTGTGGAGAATGTTCAGTAGTCATTTAGAAAAGTATTCTGCTTCAAATTTTATTGGGCCAGTGGTTTGTAAGCATCATACAATAAAACTTAATGATCCAGTATATTATTGCAAAAATCTGCTTTTTCATAAGTAGCTAAAATTGAATGTCTGTAGTCCACAATAATGGCTGTTGCAGAACGGATATGGTCGGTTTAGCAGATAATGAGTGTTGTCAAAATGTGTACCAGGAGTTTTCTGTGAATTGATTGGGATGGCTGTAAAATGATTTAGTGAAACTGTGTAAGACATCTATTGCAATCATTTTGAAAGTAGAGTTATCCACCAAGTAAAGAATGCCTTTAGAAGAGCATACATATTTATTGACCTTCTAGAATAAGTTGGAAAAATTATTATAATTACCATTAAATAGGATGGGTTTATAAAAATTAATATATAAAAGTGACTTTGCATTCTTTAATAGTGTGTTCTTAAAAGCACTGAGATTTGAATTCCAACTTCTCTAAGTGTAATCTTGTTCCATATTCTGCTGTTTTATAGCAGTGAAAATGTCATATAAACTCCCAATCAGTGTCCCACTATTAGTTACTACAGGTTGGGGGTTAAACTGGAATGTAATAGGTAAGCCAGGACTCTCAATAAATCACATCAGGACCTACTTCTTCACATCAAATAATTATGCAAATGTGCCAGTAAACTGGAATCATCCTTGCTCTTGAAAATTAATATAATTCCAGATACCATCCCACCTTCTCCCCCTACCTTTGCTATTATACATTGACTTGCTATGCAAACAATACAACAAGAAAATCTTGTAAAGGCTAAGAAACAAATGTATAACAACTTACACTCCTAGAACAAAAACCAGTTTTGTCTCATAGACATCAGAAATACAATCAATTGGAATCTGAATTTTTTCCATCTTGTATTTCTGAATATTTCTCTCATATAAATCCAGATATACATTCGATCATGAGTGTTTCATTTCTATCTTTTGCTAAAAATAATAAAATGGCACCTTCCTGCCTCCCAAGTTATGTTCTCATTGGTCTTTCGAGGATGTCAGATACACTCTATCATTCCCATCACTTCCCACGGCCACCAGCACACTCCCGGTATCTCTAGGGCAGTGATCACATGCCATTCTCTCCCTCTGTATACCCCGGAATCCCCTTCCCCACTCAGCTATCCAAACCATATCAGAACTGAACTGCACTATCAATGCAGCTCTGAAATATTCCAGTCTAACAAAAAATTATCTTTTGCTTAAATCCTATTAGGTTTTTTAAAAAGCTAACACTTAGTGTATGTTTAACATCTTTCCCGCAAGTTCTTTTTTGGCTAAGGGCATGACTTAAAAGGAAGATAAACTATCTAATCAAAAAATGGGCAAAGGACCTAAATAAGACACTTTCAAAAGAGGACATACAGAAGGCTCAAAGTCACTAATCATCCGAGAGACGCAAATCAAAGCAACAATGAGGTACCATCTCACACCTGTCAGAATGGCTACCATCAACAAATCAACAAGTGACAAGTGCTGGTGAGAATGTGGAGAAAAAGGAACCCTGTGTGCTGCTGGTGGGAATGCAGACTGGTGCAGCCACCGTGGAGAACAGTGTAGAGCTTCCTCAGAAAATTAAAAATGGAGCTCCCATTTGACCTAGTAATCCTACTTCTAGGAATATATCCCAAGAAAACAGAAATGCCAATCAGAAAGGATATATACACCCCTATGTTCATAGCAACACAATTCACAGTAGCTAAGATTTGGAAACAGCCTAAGTGTCCATCAGCAGATGAGTGGATTAGAAAACTATGGTACAGCTACACAGTGGAATACTATGCTGCTGTAAAAAAAAAGAAGGAATATTAACCTATTGCAACAGCATGGATGGAACTGGAGAGCATTATGCTAAGAGAAATAAGCCAGTGAGAGAAAGATAAATCACATGATCTCACTCATATGTGGGATATAATGAACAACATAAACTGATGAACAAGAATAGATCCAGAGATAGAGAACCATTAAATAGGCTGTTCAACCTATGAGGGAAGGCAGGGAGTGAGGGGTAAGCGATCAACCAAAGGACTTGTATGCAGGCATATGAAAATGACAGACAGTAGAGGCGTGAGGGCATGTGCTGAGGGGTGAGAGCTGCTGGGGAGAGTTCAGTGGGGGAAAAGGAATTTAAATAAATAAATAAATATTGTAAATAAACAAACAAACAAACAAACAAACTTATATTTTAAAAATCTCTTGCATTGCTTACCATTTTAGGTGTGTAGTAAATACTCAACAGATAATATTAATTGATAAATATTACTGAGAAGAGTTTGACGCTGGCTAGGCTGCACACCTGAGTATCCCAGAGAGCTGATTCCTCTGACAGGTGTGTTTGCAGGTGGGGAATTAACCTTTAGGGCCACGGTTTTCAAATAGAACACAAATTATGATAGTCTTGGAATCTGAACCTCAGTATCATTTATTTACTCTCTTACTATTGCAGAGAAGGCATGCATTCTACCATTTTGCAGAGGGTGAATTCTACTTAGAAATTCAGTATGCAGATATTAATATATATTGCCTCTTAAAAACATCAAGTTTATTTCCTAAATTTATATGGAGGAAACTTGAAGTTTAGGTTTACTTGTCATAAAATGGCAGCTAAGGAAGCAATAGTCAAATTTCAGAGTAACTCAGGCAGATTCCATGATTTTTTTTTTAATCCTCACATGTTCCCATTCTTACCATGAGGTGGCAGTATGCACCACATTTTGGTAAAATAGCATTTCACTCTATCATGATGCTTAAATCATGAATGCATCTGGGGTAAACAATGTTTATATCTATTTTTTCCAGATTCTTAAAAAGTAAAAACTTTAGAAGGAATTAAACAAAAGAATTCTGAGCATATATGAATTAGGTAAAAGAGCACAAGATAAAAAAAGCAACCACAACATGACAAAAAGGAAGTTTTATTTAAAAATGTAATAATCATACAACATGCTATTATGTTAGAGGTTTAATCATGATGTGTCATCAGTTTTCAGTATTGTGTCAGATGGTTATAAATGTTGTTCCAATTGTAATTCAATTGTGTAATTAAAAGGCTTTCAATTTATAATGCTAAAGGCATTAATGCTCATTCTAACCCGAGTTATTTTTTTTTTCTCTCTCT